TGTTCTGTTTGGGAGAAGGGTTGTTGATCACTATACAGTGGGGCTGCAATCTCTCCAGTTGCTGCCAAATACCATCTTGACTCTTCATAGTGGAAAAGTTGTATCCTGCCTTGAAATCCATAGGAGATGCAACTTTAACACCATTCTTTGAAAGGAACCAAGATAATCCACTGTTTCCATGAAGTAACTCAACAACATCAGGATGATCATCATTACAGAAGAAAAAGGACTGTTCTCCGAATTCGGCATCAACATACAGTTCGTGATCTTCACGCAAGTTCTCCGGATTCTCATCGTCTAATGCCGGAATGGAAACATCATGCCACTCATCGTGATCACGTCTAACCTTTGACTGATTCACACGTATCACTGCCTTACCAGTATTGGCTTGGACCATAGCTCCTTCTTGTCCAAGTACTGTGGCACGAACCCAACGTCCTTTATCCTTGAACTTTGATGAATCCTGAGTCCAAACAAAAACCTTCTCTCCTTGGAAATAAGGACCGTCACTTGGCATAGTCCTTCTTGCAAGATCTGCTCGAAGGTCCTGAGCTTGTCGTGCTTCTTGATGAGCTCTCAAAGCCACACGTTGTAGTTCCAAATTTGTACGATCTTGTGCGGCGGCATTAGCTGACAATTGCTAAGGGCTTGCGGTCTCAAGGTCAAAAAGATCTGGTGGACGTCTTCCAGTTGCTATCTCTATTGGTGAATATCCACTGATAGTCAACTGACAATTTCTTGCCCAAACTACCTTCTTGACCACTTCTCTGACCGTAACACCACGAAAACGTGGGTCATCCAGATCTACCTTCATAACATGCCACATACGTTTGAACAAACGTACAGCTGTCTCTGCTCGGTTCGGCCAAGGAGTTCTTGGCCCACAAGGACATTGTTGTATACCATGGAACCTGTAGTATTCAACAAAAGCATCTGTGAAAAAGGCTTCGTCTCCTACAATGGCCTTCGGAACACAATTGTTCTCATCAGACCACTGCCTCAATGCTTGGATGGTGGTTTGATCTTTGAGGTCTTTCTGCGCCGTAGCCCAGAGAAGATTTGTGGCACCATCAAGAACAAGTAAGATGATATACTTGTTCTTGTGAAGTTCAACCTCACAATGATCAGCAAAAACAACATCACCAAAACATGAAGCTCTAATACCGGAGACTCTGGCTCGTGGCGGAGGTGCCACTGAAGTGTTACAAACACGGCAGTTCCTGACAACTGATTCATACTTCTCTAAAACAGAGTCAGGAAGCTTCAACATAGAAACACGTCTACGAAACTGAGTAGGAGTCATATGGTAGTGCTTCACATGAAGCTTATAAAGCTCTACCTTGTCCTCCAGTCTCTGTAACATCTTCCTATATGCCGGTGTCATTGCAACAACTTCACTACCAGGTAATGGGATTGAAATCCGCCTAGGCTCAAGAGCGCCATCACCTGGTTCAAGTGGTTCATGTTTATCACTTGATGGTCCTTTTGATGCTTTAGGAATTTTTACAAGTTCACCTTCTGGCCTCTCAGGTGGTTCTGAAGGAGCATACTCCTCAAGATCATCACCCTTTAAATCATTCTGAGGCTCAGATGGTTTTGACTTGTGTCCTTTCCAAAATGGATCAAAACCCTTGGAAGTATACCGGAACTTTGGCGGCACGGGCTTTTCCGCGGCACTGGATGGTGCACCTTCCTTCTCTGACGAGAAGCCTGGTTCCCTGTCCTTTGCAATGGGAACCTTCTCTGAGGAGGAGCGCGCCACTGCATCGGGATCACCAATGCCACGGTGCTCAATGCCAGCCTTCCTGATCTTTAGATCTGGAATTTTGGCATCTGGCTTAAATTTAAAAATTGTTCTACCACGCCATTCATAGCCAAGTTGTAGGTCCTTCCATTTTGCCTTGCGCCAATCATCTGTCTTCTTGATTTCTTCTCCTCCTGCTTTCTTCTTGATGATTGTCAGTCGCAAGTCTTCCAGCAAGTCAGTGTCTACAGGACAGGACTTAGTTGCTGGGAAAAGAATTTTCCTGTAATCCTTGTGGTGACGTATCAGTTCTCTCTTGTGAACATCTACTTCCCAGAAATCAACCACAGGATATGCATGCTCAGCTTCACCTTCATCACTATTGTGTTCAACAGAAATATGGCCATATTCATAGTGAGTGAGGTGAGAGTAAAAACTCTTCTCACGCTGAGTCTGCCAACGCACGTCAGACAGATACCATGCAATATCTTGGAAGTCCAACACAAGATGAGTACTGGCTGCAACCTTCAACTCCAAAAATTTGATACCAAGAGGCACCGATGTCAGATAAGCATGTTGAGGTGTCAGCCTGAGTTCAAAGCCTAAAATCCTCATCTGTGGCAAGCTCATAAGCAAAGGGACTTCTCCTTCTTCCACTATGTCGAACTCTGTATGGTGGATCGTCCATGCACGATCATACATGTAAATCACCAGTTTCTGAGAGCAAGTAGCCTTCTGGGAATTGGCAAAGTAAAACTTGCTCTTGGTAGCCTCAAAAGAGTACCATAATCCACAATCTGGGTGATTGTCGACATAGTTGCAAAAATGGTCGACTGCTCGCCTTGATCCCATAGCTCTAGTGCATCCAATGTCCAGGATTGCAATAGTTGGCGGGAAGCGATTCTCAGTCAAAAATGAAATAGCCTGCATCTCCTTCACTTCTTCCTCAGCGCTCATAAACGCAAAGCCATCAGCGCTCATAAGCGCAAAGCCATCAGGAGCCTTTGTGAGCATCTCCTTTGACAAAGAGTACCTCACAGGGGCACTCATGTCATCGAAGATCGTCTCACCATTGTTGACCACGCAGTCAGCTTCATCTTGGCATGAGGTCATCATGCCTGACAGCAAGTCCACCTCACTGTCATGGACTTCAGCTGCTGCTGTCACACAATGTGCATAGAAACCTTGTTGACCTCCTGATGCTTGTGAAGTTCTTGAAGGTGCAGGTAAAGAACGTGGCTGTTGTTGATTTGCATAGTTTGCATCTTGTTTGCCATCTGCTTTATCCTTTCCTTTTCCTTTCTTGCCTTTTCTCTTGCCTTTTCCTTTTCCTTTGTGGGAAAACCATGCTTCTTCAAGCTGTTGCCAAAAGTCATTGGCATCATCATATTCTCCTTGAAGATAGTCATTCATATCCTCGGCAAGAATGGCATCATATGCTCCTTGGTTTGACTCCCAAGTATCCTCATAAGGATTCTCTTCAAAGTACTCTTCTGGATATGTTGTCTGTTGCTCATCAGCAAAATGGCCTTTACCTCGTCTCTTTCCTTTTCCTTTTCCACGAGGTCTGAAGAATCTGCGGCCTGATCTTCCTTTTCCTTTTCCTTTTCTTCTACCTTTTCCTTTGCCTTTTCTGGCTCTTCTTCCTTGGAATCTCCTTTGGAACCATGAGAAGTTTTGATCATCATATACCCAAAAGACATCGTCCAGGGCATCTAAAAATCCTTCTGTTCCATCTTCTTCATCTTCGGCCCAATAGCCAAATGTACCATCGAGTTCTCCTTCGTCTAGTACGAGAAATGATCTTCTACCTCCAGCACCTGTCGGCTGCATCAAAGGATTGTCTACTGAAGTCTTTGTTGTGCAGAACATCTCGATGAACACTGTCCTCAGCTCTGTTGTAGTGTATTGCTGCAGGTACCTGCCACGATGAGTCATCAACGAAGTCAAAGTGTTTCGCTGGTCCTGAGACAAATCTGCAAGGGACAGCATGAGTAGGGCAATGAGATTCTCTCCTAAAGGAAAATCATTCTGATGAAGAATTCTCATATTGCCATTGACATTCTGCATGATTTCCTGAATCCTTTCTGCCGTTGGTGCTACTCCAGTCAACGCTGCATCTGCCTGCATCTGAGCAAGGACTTGGGGAAGTGCTTGAGTGACTGGTTCTAACATGTCCATCCAACTGCTCATAAGCCTTTGGAGTAAAATCTGGAATCTTGTCATCCATTTCATCATGTCAGCTGATCCTCGATTGAATCGCACGAATTGCATAAACCTGTATAGGAATACATTGGTTGATCCTTTCACGAAATATGGTCGTAGTACTCGTTTGAAGTAATCTACTCCTGCTCCTGGTGGCTCATTAGCCTTCAATGAATCTCTGTCTAATACACGTTTGTATACTGCTGCTTCTCCTTCTAATCTGTTTCTCAAAGCTGGTCCTCTCTTCTCATCTTCCAGCTCGGTGATATCACACCAATCGTCTATGGCATCCTCATAGGAAAGCCATGAAGTCTTTCCATCATAAGATGGGGGCACCTTTGTAGTGACCTGTGTTGTCATTGCTATTGCTGCTGGTTCTCTTCTCACATGCCTATTCACGTAGGCTGCTGGCTCATAAGCCACATCCGCATCAGGCTCTTCCCAGTCGTCAATCCAATCCATGGCCGTTTGCCCACTAGCAAGTCTATGCCTAGGAAAGGAGCTCACCTGGGTCTTCCAGGATCACTGCTCCGCTACCACTGAAAGAGTGACTAGGGCGTACACGGTAGAGGTGCAGACCGCTAGTGTCTTTTATGCGCAGAGTCTTCTCCTCTTGCTCTTTAGGTCCATTGACCCTCTCTTGAGCCTTGAAGCAGTCAAGCATGGACACACTATATCAGCTGTTGGAGTGGAACCCTGTACAGGTAGGCTCTACTTTTCAGGGGCGGGGGGGGGGGGTTAGCTTGATATATCAATCTTTAAGGCACGCAGCCCCTCCCACCACAACATTGCTAAAGCAAAGAAGAACTCAGCTAGCATGCTAGCTTTCGTGACTAGTAGCGATTCCCTTGTTACTAGTTGCTTCTAGCTACTAGTAAGGCACATGGCTACTAGTAGCTTCCTCAGCACCAAAGACTAAAGACGCGTCGTCGGTCATCGGTCTCTGCTGAAGGTTCACTGCCTTCCCTGATCCATCCACGCTGGGTGATCGTCATCGCCGTCGTTGTCGAAGGTCCAGGAATTCACCAAGGGAGGCACACGACTGGCCTTTTCAGTCACTCCAGCAGCACGCATCCTCGGACAATCCATCCATTTTCCATCGCTCTTAGGGTGGCCAATGGCGGCCCTTTAAGGATCACAGGTGCTCTCTTGGAACCGAGAAGGTCACCAGGGTGGGGGAGCTTGGCGGCTGGTGTGTGCTTGGTTCACTTCTATCGGTCAGCTTTATGGCACACCAGGACGCCCCAGCGTATGGGGTCCTAGGACCTCTCAGCAACATCCCTCCCAAATCTGGTGGCATTCCATTCCAGTTTGGATCGCACCTTTTGTCATGTCATCCCTCTGCTCACTTCCCACTCTTCCAGGCGAAGAGAATGAATTCGCCACAATGCGGGACTCAAAGGGGGAAACTGCTTGGTTACCTCAGTCTCCCCACTCACATTTACTTCTTTGCATGTCCCCACGGTCATCTCCAAAGTCCCGTCATTCTCCCAAATTTTGGGCGCAAAGGCAGTGCTCTCACAGAGTCCGAGCAGCATCGCGTACAGAAAGAGCAGCATCGCGACGAAACCAGGAGGACCATTCCTTTTCGATGCAATTGATAGGTCCGTCGTTGAACACTGGTGGCTGGAAGATGGGTATATACCCTTTCAGTCGGAAGAAAGACCGATGTCACCTGTTCAACATCAATGGAACCTAAATAAAAACTAGACATCTCAACAATTTTGTCTTAAATCCCGAGGACCGCTTGGGGCAAACGCCCCTTGAAAACTACCATGCACTTTGGGATTTCAAGACACCCAAATGACGGCATCAACTCACTTTTACTGTTGATTTTCAATACAGAAGTCTCTCTCCTCGGGGTGCCCAGTGGCCCCCGGTGGCAGACGGGGAAACTCTTCTCACCCTTCGCCATTCCTGCCGGTTCAGGCGCAGTGTTCCACTCCCCAAGTGCCAGTTCCATATCCATCTCCTGCCGACAGGCGAAGTCTTCCGGATTTTTCCTTTGTAGCAATGGCCTCCAACTTAATTGTAATGAGAACTCCTTAGCAATGGGAAAATCAATTGTAATGGACTCCAACCTAGAAGCGATGGCCTCCAGCTCATGGTTCTTGTCTTTTTTGAATCCTTGGAGGGATTGAAGACCCAACATTGGACCGTGATGCACCGATTCAGCCCCTATCAACTAAACCAGTAAGCTGTTCAGAGTTTTTCATTCCGAATTCGAGTCCGAAAAAACGATTTCTATCCATTCCGAAAAAAGATCGAACCTCCGTTTGGTGCGACTTCCTCTGTGATTTGGGCATGAACAAGTCCGAAATGGCTTCTACCGGTCCAATGGGGAAACCATAGAGAACCCTATATCGGCTCTCCAATCGCTAACGAACTCTGGTGGTGTCGTGCTCTTGCTGGCGCTCTGATTGACCGATGCCCTTTGATACTAGTAGCTTCTTGTTCCTAGTAGTAATGCCAGGAGCTACTAGTAGCTTCTGGTTACTACTAGCGATGCCATCGTTACTAGTAGCTTCTTATTTCTAGTAGTAATGCCAGGAGCTACTAGTAGCTTCTGGTTGCTACTTGCGATGCCATCGTTACTAGTAGCTTCTTATTTCAAGTAGTAATGCCAGGAGCTACTAGTAGCTTCTTGTTACTACTAGCGATGCCATCGTTACTAGTAGCTTCTTATTTCTAGTAGTAATGCCAGGAGCTATTAGTAGCTTCTGGTTACTACTAGCGATGCCATCGTTACTAGTAGCTTCTTATTTCTAGTAGTAATGCCAGGAGCTACTAGTAGCTTCTGGTTGCTACTTGCGATGCCATCGTTACTAGTAGCTTCTTATTTCAAGTAGTAATGCCAGGAGCTACTAGTAGCTTCTTGTTACTACTAGCGATGCCATCGTTACTAGTAGCTTCTTATTTCTAGTAGTAATGCCAGGAGCTATTAGTAGCTTCTGGTTACTACTAGCGATGCCATCGTTACTAGTAGCTTCTTATTTCTAGTAGTAATGCCAGGAGCTACTAGTAGCTTCTGGTTGCTACTTGCGATGCCATCGTTACTAGTAGCTTCTTATTTCAAGTAGTAATGCCAGGAGCTACTAGTAGCTTCTTGTTACTACTAGCGATGCCATCGTTACTAGTAGCTTCTTATTTCTAGTAGTAATGCCAGGAGCTATTAGTAGCTTCTGGTTACTACTAGCGATGCCATCGTTACTAGTAGCTTCTTATTTCTAGTAGTAATGCCAGGAGCTACTAGTAGCTTCTGGTTGCTACTTGCGATGCCATCGTTACTAGTAGCTTCTTATTTCAAGTAGTAATGCCAGGAGCTACTAGTAGCTTCTTGTTACTACTAGCGATGCCATCGTTACTAGTAGCTTCTTATTTCTAGTAGTAATGCCAGGAGCTATTAGTAGCTTCTGGTTACTACTAGCGATGCCATCGTTACTAGTAGCTTCTTATTTCTAGTAGTAATGCCAGGAGCTACTAGTAGCTTCTGGTTGCTACTTGCGATGCCATCGTTACTAGTAGCTTCTTATTTCAAGTAGTAATGCCAGGAGCTACTAGTAGCTTCTTGTTACTACTAGCGATGCCATCGTTACTAGTAGCTTCTTATTTCTAGTAGTAATGCCAGGAGCTATTAGTAGCTTCTGGTTACTACTAGCGATGCCATCGTTACTAGTAGCTTCTTATTTCTAGTAGTAATGCCAGGAGCTACTAGTAGCTTCTGGTTGCTACTTGCGATGCCATCGTTACTAGTAGCTTCTTATTTCAAGTAGTAATGCCAGGAGCTACTAGTAGCTTCTTGTTACTACTAGCGATGCCATCGTTACTAGTAGCTTCTTATTTCTAGTAGTAATGCCAGGAGCTATTAGTAGCTTCTGGTTACTACTAGCGATGCCATCGTTACTAGTAGCTTCTTATTTCTAGTAGTAATGCCAGGAGCTACTAGTAGCTTCTGGTTGCTACTTGCGATGCCATCGTTACTAGTAGCTTCTTATTTCAAGTAGTAATGCCAGGAGCTACTAGTAGCTTCTTGTTACTACTAGCGATGCCATCGTTACTAGTAGCTTCTTATTTCTAGTAGTAATGCCAGGAGCTATTAGTAGCTTCTGGTTACTACTAGCGATGCCATCGTTACTAGTAGCTTCTTATTTCTAGTAGTAATGCCAGGAGCTACTAGTAGCTTCTGGTTGCTACTTGCGATGCCATCGTTACTAGTAGCTTCTTATTTCAAGTAGTAATGCCAGGAGCTACTAGTAGCTTCTTGTTACTACTAGCGATGCCATCGTTACTAGTAGCTTCTTATTTCTAGTAGTAATGCCAGGAGCTATTAGTAGCTTCTGGTTACTACTAGCGATGCCATCGTTACTAGTAGCTTCTTATTTCTAGTAGTAATGCCAGGAGCTACTAGTAGCTTCTGGTTGCTACTTGCGATGCCATCGTTACTAGTAGCTTCTTATTTCAAGTAGTAATGCCAGGAGCTACTAGTAGCTTCTTGTTACTACTAGCGATGCCATCGTTACTAGTAGCTTCTTATTTCTAGTAGTAATGCCAGGAGCTATTAGTAGCTTCTGGTTACTACTAGCGATGCCATCGTTACTAGTAGCTTCTTATTTCTAGTAGTAATGCCAGGAGCTACTAGTAGCTTCTGGTTACTACTAGCGATGCCATCGTTAGTAGTAGCTTCTTATTTCTAGTAGTAATGCCAGGAGCTACTAGTAGCTTCTTGTTACTACTAGCGACGCCCTTATTACTTGTAGCTTCTTGTTCCTAGTAGTAATACCAGGGGCTACTAGTAGCTTCTGGTTACTACTAGCGATGCCATCGTT